AGATAGTGGTGCACGGCCTGCCCTTCGCCTACAAGTGGCAGGACCTGAAGCCGCTGTTCGAGGGCGTGGGCGAGATCGAGCGCGCGGACATCGTGCAAGGCCGCGACGGCCGCTCCCGCGGCTACGGCACCGTGCGCTTCACCACCCTGGAGGCCGCCGCCGCCGCCATCGAGCAGTTCAACGGGACCGAGCTGGAGGGACGCACCCTGTCCGTCAAGCTGGATGCCTACGCCTGAGGCAGGGCAACGGGGCCCCGGGATCTGAAGGGCCCGTGTGGAGATGACGTGTCGCATGCAGGGCCATGTGTGCCGGTGTAAAGCAGAAGCTTCGTCTGGGCAGGGGCACCGTGGGAGACAGACAGGAAGGGAAGCTGGTGGGGCGAGGGAGGAACGTCGCAAGAGTGTCACGGTCACCTGCAGGGTTGTTGGGTTCAGCATCGACAGGGCAGCTGCCTCCTGGTGCGAGGCCAGGGGGTCTGGTATCCGATCTCTCCGGGACACACCGGGTCCGAAACCCCAGAACAACAGGCTGGACCGCAGCTTGACTGCATCCGAGTATAGTTGCGCACGCAGGATCCACGCAGCGATCTCGGCTCACAACACCTAAATGAATACCGACGTGCACCCGTCCCTGTACGGCGATGCGCTGTTGATCGTTGTCGAGTGGGTGACGAGTGGGGTGAGCCCTGGGTGTGGGGTGCCCTGTGCAGGCCCACGGTCCAACCCGTAAACCTCCAAAACCACCTCTGTCCCTTCGAAATCTAGGTACCTGGATGCAAAGGTTCTAGCGAAGATCAGCTGCGTGCAGCGAGCCTGGAGGGATGCTCTGTCCAGCCCCACTGCCCAGCACCTATGGCTCAGAGCACTTGGTCGAGACTGGGGGGACGAGACCGCCGCAGGGCCTCCCGATCGGAAGTGCCGAGGACAGCCGCCGCATTGTCTGTATCGCGAGTGGGTCATGTTCGCGGGAGGCTACTGTCCCGTAGCACAGGCCGTCGTCAGGGCGTGGAAGGATATCGAGACGTGGCTGAGCAAGAACTGCCCCCAAATTATCAGGACCTTGCGGTGAGTCATCCAGGGCGGGGCTCTGCAGGCATCGCTGGTGCAGGTCGGCTCACATCCCTGCCCCCCCCCTCCCCCTGGGCAGACCTGGTGCCACGGAGAGGCAGCTGCGCGCGGCAGAGGCCACACTCGGCTTCCCCCTGCCTCCTGGGCTTCGCATGATCTTGAGGGTTCATGATGGGCAGTTTCTTCGCCCCCGAGGCAGATGGCAAAGCCTGGATGCCTTTTGTGGCATCTTTGGTGGGTGAGCAGGCTGCAGGGACATCTGCTCCAGCCAGTGGGGATGGAGGGTTCCCGAATGGGCCAGCCACAGTCTTTTTCTGGGTCCCAAGAGCCCTTCCTGCTCCCATGCCCCCATCCACAGGTACTCCCTGTATGACGATTACGTCACGATGGGCCTCCTGTCCCTTGGTGAAATCTTGGCTCTGTCATCGAGTTGCAACAGCCAAGGTGGACGTGACAGTTCCAGGTGAGGCAGTGGGCGAGGGAATGGGTGTGCCCTGTCTCGGAGGCACCTTCAGCCAGATGAGGGTGTCTGGAGAGCCCTCTGGTGGCTGGGCTTGCTGCATCCATGTGCGGTCCCAGGCTCATGGCCAACAGGATCTTGGCATCTGGGCACGGAGCAGCACCGGTGCTCCCCATGTCCCATGCATGCCCCCTGCTCATGCAGTTTTATGCGTCCCCCATCCCATTCCACTCCCAAATTCCTCCGACCCCCTGAACACCCCTCGCAGCCTCATCTTTGCATGCAGTCAAGGCAGTGTCAAGCAGATCTGCATTGACAAAGTGAACGGGGCCATGGCGTCGATACTCGGCCAGGCTGTGGACTTTCCTGCGGCTCCAGAAGGTACTTGGTATCAGGGACATGGACTGCTCCCTCGGGCCGCACCCTGCCTCCGCTGCATGGCCGTCTGGGTACCGCGTGAGCGAGGCGATGCTGCTGAATTCCAGCAGTCCGGCCCCTGCAGAGCTCGCTGGGCAGCGCCCGACCGGCCAGATTCCACGGCGTGACATCCCTGTCACTCTCACCTCCACCCCGCGGCAGGTGCCGCGTGCTGCGCCGTGCAGCGCTGGTTCTGCGAGTACGCGCGGCGGCTGCGGGACGGTGTGTACGCCGCCTCCCCCATCTTCCCCCTCAAGCGCAGCCCCAGCACGCCGTGCCTGTACCCCGTGCGCAGCAGCGGTCCCCATGGCCCCGCCCAGGTCGCTGTGACCCAGGGCATCAGGGTGCACGCATCCGTGCTCTTCCTCCCCGAGTACTGCAGCAACCCACAGGATGAGGCGCGGGGCACCGAGGCCTACACCTTTGCATACCAGTGAGTCGGCTGGGAGCATTGCCTCCGGCCGGGCTCCAGGGAGGGGAAGGAGAGGGCTGGGAAGGGGCTGGTGTGGCGTGGGAGGGACGGCGGCCTGGTGGGGTCCCCCTTGCGCTAGATGAGGCTGGGTGGCAGGGTCAGAGGGTGCTCGAGGCATTGGCCAGAGGAAGAGATGAAGGGACTCGCACGCCATCCGACCACCTGCCATCCCCTTGGCCCTGCAGGATCACCTTCAGTCTTTTGAGTGAGGAGGAACAGGCTGCTGCCTGGGACGGTTCCCTCGGCACCTTCCAACCCCTGCTGGCCGTCCAGCTGGTGAACCGCACCTGGCACTTCCTCCCCACAGACCATGACCCCATCCTGGCATCGGGACCAGGCGTGGTGGGACTCTTCCCCCAGCTCAGTGCGGGGGGCCCTTCCCTGACCTACAACTCCTGCACGCAGATGCCCTGCCCCACGGGCAGGATGACCGGCAGCTTTGGCTTCAAGGAGGGCGACGCCGAGGCACAGGGCACCCGCTTCATCGAGGCAGCCTTCCCCACTGTGCACCTGTCGATCCCAGAGTACATCTACTGAGGCTAGGAGGTCTGCAGGGTACTGAAGACTGGGCGGCGGAGGATAGGAGGCCATTTTAGTTCCTGTCATGCCTCATGAGAGGCCTGTTCTACCACTGTGGCTGGATTGGAACGAGTCTTGATCCATCCTTGGGCCAGCT